ATCAAATCAGATATAATGTGGTATGTAATGTAAACGTGTAGAATTCTATGTCAAATCAGATATAATGTGGTATGTAGTGTAAACGTGTAGAATTCTTTGTCAAGTCTGGTATAATGTGGTATGTAATGTCAGTGTGTACATTTTTATATTGTTCCCTTCCTGTTATTCATCAAACGTTAAAAATATGTTTGTGAAACTTACCTCGAATATATGGAGGTTTCTTGCCAGGTTTGTTTGATTTGAGGTCAACTTTTAATACATCTTTTGATCCAGTGGCATAAATGATGGACCCATCAAGAGTAACTGGTTCAGAATCTTGCCATAATATTTGTACATTTGGTTTCATTTCTGTATGATTCCCCTGATTGTTAATTTCTACTTCCATTTTTGCCATGTATTGATTAGCCTCGTCAGTGGTCAATTCCAATTTGGTTTCATATGTATTCCTTTTGAATGAAACAGATCCTGAAGGAAAAACAACAAACACATATATATAAATATATATATATCAGAATACTGAAAGTAGTTTCAATATTACTACTAATGTTGCAAGTTGTAACTGATAACATTTTCGCTGCAGCATGATGTGTCACCTATTGGTTGAAAGAAAACTCTAGTTTATGTTTTACTAATTCACATAACTTATAACTGATTACTATAACTTATCTATAACTGACAGCTGAACTACCAGTCTTTATACAAAATGTCAGTTGTTTTTTGTATAAAACTTTTTAATATATACACACACACACACGTATAATTTTAATTTTAACAAAATAGCATTCATTAACTGACTAACATAATGAATTAAGCAGAAAGAAAATTATGCAAAGAACTTTGTATTCTTTGCCAGAAATATCCGACAATATTAACTGATAAAACGTTTGCTAAATATTCTGTTTAAATGTACTAACACAAAATAAAATGCTGTCCCATTGCAAATGAACCATGCATATATTAAACAACTGAACTACAAATTTAAACCCACTGCTCTGGTAACCTCAGAAGTATTTACTTTCATTTATTGTTTCAAAATACCTTACAATTATTGTTTATTATTTTGCTTCAGTACATACATAATTAATTTTATAATCTAATTTAACTTCTATGGTAATCGTGTCAAGAAGAAAGTTAATGATTCTTGATAGTTAACATTTACATGTTTTGTAAGCATGATTTCATTTTCCAAAAAAGCATTCTTTATAAAAAGAATGAGTTTGATACATGAAATATTTTTAAGAATAGTATTTTTAATAACAATGCATAAAAAAATTACATTTAATCTAACAACATTTTTGTAATTCCTAGCTTTTTATAGTTATCAAACCAGAATTTCTGAAACAGAAACACATTACTTGATATTAATTCCTTAACTAACTTTTGGAGATGAAAATTCAATAACAAAATACAAGTATGTGGTAAATATTGCACATGTTAAATCACTTTTTATTTCAGAGTGTCAATTAGTAGCAGAACTATCAGTCATTATAAAAAATGTCAGTTGTTTTTTTGTTTGTTTTAAGAACAGCATCTGAAAGCAATGTTAATATTTTAGTAAATCAAATATTCTTCAGAAATAAAGGTGCTAGATTCCATTAAATGTATTAAACTTTTTAAACATTTAACCATTATGGTATCAACTTTCAAACAAACATTGAGAAAGTGCTATTATTTTCTTATACAAATAGTTTTATATATTTAAAACACCACATTTAGGTTCTATAAATATTTAAAAATAGTGAAGAAACATGAAAAATAATTCAATTAATATACAATAATGTTCCTGTTATAATTAGACAGTGAGTATTAATCACATTATTAAATAAACGGTATGTTTGAATTTCTAGCATTTGTTTGTACAATTGTTTGTCTGGGTCCCTTGTTCTCCACACTAGATCCAGCAGGATGTTTCATTTTGATATGGTTCAAGATTGTTCCTGTACTACCCCTGTAACTAAGCTTCGCAGAACACAGCTTACATTATACTTTTTGGTCTCCCTTCATATTAAAATATGCCCAAACAGGGATTTGCTTATTTTGAACTCCCAAAGATGACACTGCTATAGCCTGGTCAATTTCATATCAGTTTGTTGTATCTCTATGCAGCAGAAAATTACAATAATGTTATGCCAAAAAGTAGTTCTAATTAAATGTGTTTAAAAAAAACCTGATAACCTGATAATTGTTTTTTGCTGGTTGTTTTGGTTTGTTCATTTAAATATATATATGTATATTCATAATATTTATAATCATAATTTCATGTACCTCCTTGTCTATAACAGTATTATATTCAATTTAGTACAAATATCTATTTGTTTTATGTTATATACTTTTGCAAATGCCCAGTTAAGGTTAAACGTGAACCTCATCATCTGCCAGTGATTTTGCCACATGACAAAAAGTAGGAAGTAAACAATATTAGAACTTCTCAGTAGCCCTTAGTTTCTTAAGGTTTGACATGAACATTTTGAAAGTTTACTAGATTAAGCAAAATTCAATTTAAATTCAAAGTTTAAATGTTTGAAAATATTAACACTCCTATTCAGAACAAAAAGAGACATAAATGTACAAAGTAGCAGATGATTGTCATACTGGATTGCTGAACATTCACTATAAAACTCTATTCCATACCTCACTAAACATAACTACAGAGCTTCAGATAGCAAGTGTATTTACATAAAATATGCATAACTTTTTGAGAGATGTGCTAAAATGTGAATTGGTGTGCCTACTGGTTGCACACTGTGAAAATGGCTATAAAGAGGGTCCACATCTGACTAAACAGGGCACGTATGTGCAAATCTGCAATCAACACCAGCTATTTAGGAACCTGGCATCTGAACAACTGTAAGAAGGGATATGCCAGCATGGCAGGTCACTCAAAAGCAAGACCATTCTGACCAGTACCACTCCATGCAATATCTTCCTCTGGGTTTGATCCTCACAGAGGTGTAGCACATGGAGGGACTACAGCTTCCCTGCACAACATCAGCCTTCAGGACTCAATCACACGAAGTTGAAGCACAAGGAGCAAAAAAACCATATGAACATGGTAGGACAGGGAATTCTTACCAACACATGTGTGAGGACTTATGGTGGTTGGTCCAGTTCTGACCCAAAACCACTCTCTGGAAACCAACATCAAGTCGATGATAGGATGAGGGATCCCAACCAGAGAGGCGGACTACATTGTGGTGGATTTACTCATAGTATAGTGTATGGTTCAGGTGGAGGATCTATGTCATATACACCAGCAGAACACCACCATCCTACTTCCAACTGAAAGGAATTGAGCACATTCAGGAAGCAGCCTCTATGTTCCACCACCCCAGTGGCTAGAAATGTCTTTGGGAGTCTGGAGGAGCACTGACACTGGCAACAGTGAAATGGGTGACCATGAAGTCATTACAATGAAAAGCAAATAGCCTCAGATTTATTTAATCAAAGGGATGGCAGGGATGGGCAGCTATACCGTTCTGCTTTATTTATAATAGTCTATGAGTCAGTATGGTCTGGAATGGGTATAGTTATACAGCAAAAAATGTAAGGAAAACCTACGAGTGGTCTTGTGGAACACCCCATCTCAACAATGTGCATTGTTGGCCATGGATATACATCGAGATTGGTGGGTACAGCCTCTGCCCAAAGTAATTTCAGTGAGACGTCCAAACCAACTATTGCCTCACTACACAGCACATCATCCTCCTGAGTTCAACCCCACTGAGGTGGAGCACTTGGAGTAGCAGAATATACCCTGCACAACATCAACCATGGCACACAACCCCATGGAGAAGAGTGCAAGGAGAAGATGCCTGCACCATCGAGTCACAACCTCTAAGTAACAATAAAAAGAGTGATTGCAGTGCATCTCCCTCGTAAACTGTTACCACCCAGGGTTGAACAGAAGAAGTTGGAGCACATGAGGTATGTGGACCCCATGCAACATCATTCCCCAGATAGAACCTCACAGAAATTGAAGTGCATGGAGTACCGTCTGATGTTACATGCAAATACAGCCATGGAGGTGGAGCCCTTGGCCCACCAGGCAATTGATAATATACCCAATTATGACTTATAGTAGGTCATATAGTGCAGAATTTTGTGCAATAAGTATACATATACAGGCAACACTCACCACTTAGTGGGATCTATGACTGAATAGGGGCATGCTTCTGTAATAAAAAGGAAAGTCAAACTTACCGAGTCACAGACAAACCGATGTTTGAAGTATGGCATCAGGCAGAAGATGGTAGCCAGACAAGAAATAAATGGCACCCCCCCAATAAAAGTTCTGATTACATGGAAATAAATGGGAATGACAGGACATACGAATAACATCAGAGAAACAGCAGAAAAATCATGTGATAAATAAAACCTTGATAGTTTCTTAGCAAATATAAACCTATTATTTGGAATGAACTAAATTGTTTAGAGGTGAGGTTCCTTGGAGCTGTGCAGAAATATAATTCTAAACATTTTTTGCATTTGTCTTTGCAAATCTAAATAAATGTTTAACAAATGATAAAATATCAATTATAAAATAATAGCACATAGCCCATCAAAAATGAAGGGGCAAGTACTACCACATCCACCCCACAGTGTACCCTAACCTTACATTTCTTAGCTAGCTAAATTAAATAAATGTTGTGAAATCAAGCTTGACCAACAAAGAGGCAGAAAAGTGCAGTTGAAGAAATCAAATGTTGGTAAATTCCTTTCTGAACCAATCAAAATTAAGATCCTTCATGAAATGAATTCATAGCATATTCATAGAATAATTATTTGTAAAAATCAGTTAGATTAACAACTTCTAATACGTAGAAAAGTCAGTGCATTTTGGTAACACTACGTTCTAACAATGGCTTTTATGTCATGTTCCTTAACCTACTATTATTGCTAGTCTATGTATTGAACGTATAAAATGAAATGTATAGACAACAAAACTGGAAAAATATTTGTTGATTTCTTGATTTAAAGTCTCCGTGGATTAAAGAGGTTTGTTTTATATTTAAAATGTTGGTGATACAACAGAAAATAGCTTAATTCAGAAATGATTTAAATTTAAAATTGAATCTATATTTTTACTTTCATGATAAAATTTATGCACTTGGCTCTAAGCTAGGTGATCCAACACTAACATCTCTACTTTAGGTTTATTATACCAACACTCACTACACTTATAAGGTTTCAAGACACCCCCTTCATGGTCCCCTTGCACTCCCATCACTAAAATTATAATGGGCAGACAGTAATTGAACTATTCTATCTGGATAAATGCATTTTGGCTTTTATGACTCCTCCTATTTCGAGCATTCAAGCCTGACATGGCACACATTGGCTTTTATATAGGTTAACTTTCTGAATAAAAGAAATTGTTAAAAAGGGCTAGAATTATCATTTTACTTAAATTTTGAAATTTGATATTTTGGTATGCACTCAGCAACTGAATGGTTCTGACTTGTTGGCAGTGGTTAAATTAAGAAATCAACATGACAAAAACTTTAATTAAAAAAAAAGTAAACATATGACATGAGTAACTGTCTTGCTCCCGCAAAAAAAATTATGCTACGTAGATGATTAAAAGTTCTCAATCAATAGATAAGGAAATGTAATTTGAGGGTAAAAACCAAACAAAAAATTCTTGACAAGCAAGGAATTATATATCTGTTAATGTCTACATATCTCTCACATAAAAGTATTATTAATTCAGTTTAACAGAACAAGTCTCAGAATAGCTTATAAAATTGAAAAACATTCAATTTATCAAACTAATACTTAAACGTAGATATTTACACTCATTACAAAAGGCTTACCTTTAGTATTTTTTTTATTTTTTAATATATTTGGACCTTTTTGCAAATGGGACAGTTCTAATGTCTTAAGATTGATATTTATTTCCTATTATAAAAGAAGTATTTCTATTTATTTGATATTTCTTAAAATAACTAGACCTTTTTGCATCTATTCTCTTAGCCCCTTCATGTTAAAAAAAATATATCTATTCACACACCTGAAGCTTTAATTTTTTTAAAAGGAGAAATGAAGTCAAAAGTAACTGAAGATTCTTTCCTATGCATAATGGACTGGATTTCCAATGACATATCTCGATCAATTGAAGAGCCTGGAGTACTGAAGGCTAAATGGTAGACTCTATCTCCAGCAGTCTGCAATTTTACATTACAAAGTATAATAAAATATATTTCACTATGTAATTTAAAAACATATTACTATACATACCCAATACGTAACTGAACAAGTAAAATATTATGTTTTCTTTATCATAAGTATTTAGAATGCAATAATTATTAACACATTTGCTGCCACGTGCCCCACCAGTGGGTCACAAGTTATCATTTTCCTAAACTGAAAATGTGTTTCCAAACATACTTACCTCCACTGACACTAATAGCTATTTCTCGATCTTCATCTTTGCCATCTAACATTGTGTTCACTTTCTCCAGTCTTTATATACCCTACTCGACTGCCCTCAACAATATCTATTTTGCAAAATTTTACATCGGCCCTATAAAGCCCTCTATGCAGGTACTGTATATAAGCATTGTACGCTGACAGTTAAATCACTTTTTGGCAACTTACCTCATTCAGGTCACTAACACCGGCTCTTAGTGGGGAGGAAGGGAGGGAGAATGTCAGTGGAGGTAAGTATGTTTGGAAATACATTTTCAGATTAGGAAAATGATAACTTCCAAAACATACATACCTCCACTGACACTACTAGTTAGAATCCCACATTGAGAAGGCAGAGGAGCCGGTGAGGACAGAGATCATACAGAAAGCATCTGCAGAGAACAAATATGTACCACGAGAAGTGTTATCAAAGTGGGGAACACCGCACTACATCCAGCACTCAAACTACCGAAAATTGAAAAGGGTGAAATATAATACAAGTATGATGGTCCAGCCCTGACCAAACAGCCGAGGTTCCACAACTCTGATCGGATTTAAGGGGTCATGGTACCCATATTCCACGTTGGTGACCAGGACAGTTGGACCACAGATATACCTACCAGTAACCACAGAATGATGCGTTTCGAACCACCGGATTTATGAAAGAAAGAAAGCAACACCAAAATGGACAATCCTTCTGATTAACCTGAAGAAGTCCAAAAGGTAACATCCCAGGCCTGGATTGACGGGATCGTATGCCATATTTCACCAAACAGTTGTCTTTAGTCCCCCACCAATTGGGCAAGGAGAATTCTGCTTACCCATGGAATTATGGAGAGGATGTGGAACACTGTCCCACCAAGGACCAAAGATGAGACCACGTTGCAATCGAATTTACAAGGAGATAGTGGACCCCCTGTATGAACAACATAAGACTTCATAGTGTTCATAAGAGGATCCAAGTACCCCCCACTGGATAGCTAAGTGTCAAATCTGGACTGGTTTTACGAGTAGGTTCCCATGTAGGTTGATCCTACTCCTATCGACATCTGGGAAAAAAACTTCCAGGGAGTCAGGTAGGAGGGTCTCCAGTTTTGCCCTCTTCTTCAAAGGAAAATCCTCTGTCCACCACTCCAGCGACTGGGAACTGGGTGTGGTAAGGACTCCCAAGCTCCACTAGTAGAAGTAAGGGAGAACATAAGCATTGGGGAATCCTGAGGAACAGGCCTCCAGAGACAGTGCAACAGGTGAACTACGTTCCCTAATTTTTAAAAGTAAATTGATCTTGACTGAATCAGCTCTAAGGTCAGCAGAGACTGGCAAAATCCCCATTAGCTTTACTCATGATATAGTCCACGAGTAGTGGTCCATTAGAAATATTGTAATGAGATATCACCAATCAAAAATAATAATGGGAAACCATAATGCCAATAATTCAATTATTTGAATAGTTGGAATAATAAAAAACACTAATTTCTATTAGTTGATTATTTTCAGGACATTAATCAACTTAACTGTAATTTTGGTTCAATCAATTATTTTACATGACACACAGAAATCACTAATATTGATTAATAAAGTTAACCATCCAGCTCTAATATTAAGCATCTACTGCATACATGAGTCAAGACTATCTAGTCTTTCTGAAGTAAACGTGTCACACATTCAAGACATATAATTTTATAAACTATGCTTTTCCAGAGTTAAAACAACAGAGGTGCAACATACAAACTGCTTGATAATCAAACCTACACAATATTTCATAAATATATTGTTTTTAATGTGTCAAAAATACACTGTCAGTCTCCTCTTTGTGAGAGAAAAAAAACTATTAAATACTTATCTTTGAAAAAGTAACAAAAACAGAAGCAAAAATTATTGTTATTTCACATAAAAAAAAATTCCTATGAAATAAAACATATATATATATATATTTAGTTCTGACAACTGACATTTTAAATAAATTATTCCAAATGATGATATGATAGTTTGAGTTGTTAAAAAGTACCTGATTAATCAGTACTAGTGGGTTAACACCTTTAATACAGTTGATAAAAACCAATCTATTGTTTGAGAGGTCTTGGGCTGGGTTACAAATTAATGAAATAGTAAAAGTTTAAATTATTACAAGAAAAACTAGCACCCAACATTAGGCTTTGTTTGTAGAAGCAAAATGTGTTTGAGTTATGATGTTGCATAGCCTTTTATTTAGTGTTGTATATATACTGGTAACTCTGTGTTTTGTTTGTTTTTAATTTTAATTTATTTTATTCTAAATTTATTGCATTTTGGATGCATTCTTCTGAATTACATTTATTTTATCATGCTTTAATTTCTATAATAGACTTGGATTTTTACATTTT